TAGTTTTCCAGCACAAAATTAAATGTTACAGAAAAATGTTTGTATGTCAGTAAAGAAAGCAGCATATTACATAAGAGACACTTTTCAGACAAAAAAAAACATAATGAAGGCTGCTGGGTTTTGCTGCAAAAATAAGAAGCAAGTGTGACAGTCAAAGTCTCCAGAAGAACTGTGGCTGCTTCTGCAAGATGCTCAGTAACACTTACAGCTCATTTCCTTATAAAACTGCACACACTGCACCTGAGACTATTTTTTGTTTTAAAGCGAATGATCATCACACCAAATATTGACTTTGTTTCATTCTGTTTACTGCTCTTTATAGTATTTTTTTTAATGTAGAAACATTTAGTTTCATTATTTTTGAAGGCATCTTTGCTCTACAGCATTTCTTTGCATGTGCTTAAGACTTTTGCACAGTACTGTATGTGCCCCTGTGAATGACTCGTTCCTATAGACATGATAACATATAAGAACAGATGCATTAATTTAAACGTGGTTTGAATTACTACTGTCAGAGCTGCTGTATAGAAATGTAATCAACACCCACAATCAAATTCAAGAATTCAGCATTGCTGTGGTGAAACTAGTTTTAATGATGGGGTCCAAGACATTGATATGTCAGTATTTTATAGTAAAAGCCATGGAGTTTTGAGTGACTGAGGGTTTGAAAATAATACAGCAATCTTAAAATATCTAGTACTGAACAGTCGATGCAGCGGGTAGTGTTGCTGCCACACAGCTCGAAGGTCCACTGAGTTTTGCATGTTCTCCTTGCGGATGAGTGGATTTCCTTAAGGTTCTCCGGTTTCCTCCCACCTCCCAAAACATGCCAGTAGGTGGATTAGCTAGACTAAATTGCCTCTAGGTGTGAATGAGTGTTGTGTGTGTGTGTGCATGGTGTCCCGCATGAATGAATCAGAGAGATAGAATTGTAGCTGTACTCCTGCATGTGAGGAGCAGCGCAAAATAAAAGTCATGCTGCACACACAAAAAGATGCTAGAATTAAATCCATGTGTCACAGCACTAATGGACAGTATAGTGCTCTTCCTACTGAAAACAACACGTTTCAAAAAGACACATATTAAGCATAAATAATGCACTGGACCACATGGATCATATTCAATACAGATGACTTAAGCTCAAAAAAAGATAGCAGTATTTGCATTGGAAAGGTTCTCCATTTAGATGATTGAAATGTCTCCTCCTTATGTGCACTTACTGTAACTCTGAATGCAACACATTCTGCATGAATCCTGTATCTAAGAAATATCCTTGTTGCTGCATGTCAGGTCAGCACTATCATACTCCAGCTACTCTGTGATAATACAGTGGTTGGAAAACAGCAATCATTGGCACTCTTCCATCTTCCTGTGTGCTGTGTATAACAGAATCATTTCCTGTCAGCTCCGTTTATCTGAACTGAAATGATATAGAGTCCCACTCTTCCAGCAAACGGCCTCTTTTTCCAACACTGAGGGTTTTTTCCTCAACCCACTCACAACCCATAAAAGTTCAACAGGGCTTTATTCAGATGCTAATTCTGTCCATGTTAAAAGAGGGTCACAAGTATGCATTACAGGAAAGTACGCATAATAGAGTTACAAAGTGTTTTTCTTATTGCAATAGATGAGAGATAAAGATCTGGAATGAAAACAATATTTGAGTCTAAAATTTGTTAAATAAATTAGGACTTGTGTTTGTTTTTACGAGGCCGTGCTTTTGTTGCCATTCCTAAGAGCTACTGTT